GATAGTAACACTAGGATTTGACAGGTGCATAAAGTGTTTTTGCTAACTCCACCAAAAGAACTGAGGTGTTTATAATCCTTTTTTTTTTTTTTTTTTTGAATTTCCATTAAGTGGTTTCAAACTGTTTGCTCTGAAAAAAAAAGATTACCAATTAGAGAGGATTCTGTGAACAGTCTACCTTCTCTGGAGATAATGCCATAAGAGGACATTTCCATTCATCCCCCCACTGTTCAGGGGTAGTAATGTGATATCATTCTTTGGAGCAGACCCTCAGTAAGCAGATGGTCAGCTATTCAAACACGTCTGGATACTAACCAGTGGTGTACGCGAGTAGAAAAACTTCAGGATTTCAGTACAACCACTTAAAAGTGCTCAGTGATACATATCATTAGGCATGATACGTTAAACGGCAGTTAAACGCTTCAGTCTATCAGTACGCATCGCTTTGCTTTTATACGGTTGAATAAATTCTATCGTGTGTTTTTTTATACGAAGCCAACTTTTGTTGTTCATTTATTCAAATATAAGCGTCAGAGAACTTTGGAAATGTTCAACATGCTTAAAAATCAAAAATAAACTGACGATTACATCGTACTAACCGGTGTACAATGGTTTGTAAGCCCAGTATACCCAGTACAAAAAGGTAGATGAGTGAGGTTCGAGGCATGTTTAGGATAATGGTGCGTGAGGTGGTCCAACGAAACAGAACAGAGTCTTAAAACGTGTTTCAGAGGAAACGTCTGTAGTTCGGCGCACTAACTAACTGCTTCTTGGCAAGTCCTCTGAGTGTCGGGGATGTGGAGCAGTTCGTGCACAATCTCTCAATGTGCCAGATTAAACGTGACAGCCGGGACTGAACACCCAGCTCCATCTTCCTTTTTTAGGCACTCCCAACAAATCTACGACCACAATGAGGTGCATTCCAGTCTGACAGCCAGTTCAGCTCTGTTCTCCAGGGAGAGGCTTTTGATTATCCAAAGGAGCTGGTTCACTTCTCCCTGGTCGTGCACGCGCATCACCAGCGCTCTGAAACGTGATCAAACGATAAGTGGGACCCCTGTCAGGATCAGATCTGTCTTTTTACATGAGATGTGAAACAGCTGCAGGAGACGAGCAGGTGAACAATTTGACATTTGACTCCCATTCACATTCCTGCGTCAGCTGACAAAAGAGTGGGCGCGCAGGGGGGTCCCAGCCCGGAACCACATGTGGGCTCCTGGGAACTCTTTTACCGACACACCTGCTTAAAAGAGCAACACAAACACTGCGAACCTTGCATTTAAAAGTTATTTTGGAGACGTCTCGGGGGAGAAATGGTGTATAAACGAGCTCACCTGTAAAGGCTTGAAGCAGCCGGTGATGGTTTTAGCGAGAGACAAAAAGGCGCGTCCACCTGAAGAAGTCCAGCTCTGGTTCAAACTGTGACGAAACCGGCGTCGCTCGGGAGAAAATAACTACAAGAACAGTTGTTTTTAAACTCCCCAAACCTTCAGAAACTACGAGTCCAGAGTGTGAGGGCGAGGGTGTGTGTTCAGTCTCTGCTGTCGTTCGGGACAGGCGGCTCCACATCCACCGACAACAGTTAGCGCAGCGGACACAGACAAGCTAGCAATGGCCGACACGAGAAACAGGAAACGGTTTGGGTTAGCTTTCAAAATAAAAGCCCAGCGTTCAGTTCACATAAGTTGCACATGGGTGCAAATATTATTTTCTGCCACTTTTCTCCTTTTCTCTCAGAAAATGAATTGAGCTCGTTTTACATCCTTCAAATCTTTAGCTCTGTTTCCGACTTTACTGCTCCTTTCACATTTTGTTCTGCTTCGGCTATTTTCAGCTTCCTTCTGTAAAATTTAAGTTTTTTTTTCCAGCTGTTTTCAGCTGTTTTGTGCTCCTTTCAGATTCTTTCTGCCATCTATAATATTTTAGCGCTTCTTCTAACTTATTTTTGCTCATTGTAGTTTGGTATGCTACTTTCAGCTTATTTCTGCAAGTTTCTGCCTTTTTTTTTTCCATTTCAGCTACTATATAGCTGTTTTATGCTAATTTAAGCTCTTTAAGCTAATTCCACATTTTTTGCACTCATTTAAACTTTTTTCAGCCTAATTTAGCAAAATTGTACTCTCTCCACTTCCTTCTATTAATTTCATCTTATTTTTGCTTTTTTTAAGCCACCGGTTTTCAGATTATAATTTTGTGTGTGTGTCCTAATTTAAGCTTTTTCAGATAATTTCCACTTCTTTGTGCTCATTTGTGCTCGTTTCAGCCTAATTAGGCAACATGTGTTCTTTCTGATTTCTTCTGCTAATCTAAGCTTGTTTTACCTTTTCAGCTAGCTTTTTAGCATTTTTAGCTAATTTCAGCTGTTTTCAGATAAATTCAAAACTCTCATATTTTCTGCTACTTTCAACCTAATTAGCTTATTTCTGATAAATTTGGCTCGTTGTGCTCCTTTCATCTTTTTCTGCTATTTCAGCAACTATTTAGCTGTTTTATGCTATTTTTTAAATATTTTTCAGCTAATTCTGCATTTTTTAAAACTCATTTAAGCTTTTTCGACTTCCTTCTAGTAGTTTAAGCTTCTTTCTGCCTTTTCAGCTACTTTTCAGCTTTAATGTTTTTAGCTAAATTCCTTGTTGTTGTGGTCATTTCTGTTTTTTCAAACCTAATTCAGCAAATATCTGTTCTTTCCCTTTTATTCTGCTAATTTAGGCATGTTCCTCCATTTCAGCGATATTTCAACATTTTGTAAACTCATTTCAGCTGTTTTTCTGCAAGTTCTGCAATTAGCATTCACACTGCATTTTTGCAGGAAATGCAATTTCTCTAGTTATAATTTTTTCTGTATACTTTATGTTTTTATCACAGCTGGTCCAGGAGATGGGTGCAATGATTTTTAGTTTTTGTAACCTTGACACACAAATTATTTAAGTTAATTTTTTCCTCTTAGCTGTACGTTGCAATTTCTTTCGTTCCTCCATTAAAAAAAAAAAAAGCTAAATATTGAACATATTTGTTTCATTTTTGTCTTCCTATGATACTCATAGATTTTACTATTACTTTTTATTTTTCAGCTTTTAGCCAAACTTTTTTTGTCATTAGCTAAACTTATCTATTTGTTAATGTTGTCAACTCTCTGAATGCTGACTGTTAGCTTACACTATAGACTTTATTTCCAAGATTTGTGTTTCAGTCCAAATAATAAAGAAAATAACTAGTTTAATTCAAAAATTAATTACTAAAACCTGTCTCTGATACATTATGTTCCAGATTTTATTTATTAAAATAAATCAAGACTTAAGATAAAATTTTGGAAGTTCATGTTTTTTAAGTAAACAATTATTCCAACCCTTATCACAATCATAAATATTTCTGTTACAAAATTATTTTATAAAAGTGGGAGTGATTAATAAAATAAAAATGACAATAAAAGACTAATAAATACGAAAATAATCATCTTGGGATTCATGCATTTAAATTTTGAACATGATTTAAAAAATTACAGATTTTTTCAATTTAATTTTATTATTAACTTGTGTATGGTGGTGGGGGGGGGGGGTGTCAGTCCTGCACTTTGATGAAATCCTCGTTTTATTTTGAAAAACCCCTGGGATGTTCCTTTCTGTCTCTGCTGACTTGACCTAAAAGTTTCGCAGCTTCCCAGCACGCCGCGTGCTGAAAGTGGCTCTGAATAATAAAATGTAGAATTAAAACTCATCTGACTTGTTTCTATGGTCTAATAATTCATAGTGGCGCCTTTTTAAATACCCTTCAGTTCTTCTGGGGAACTGTTTTGTGATTATTCATAATGTTTCTGATGAGTCTTTTCAAAGCTGATGAACAGCTAAAGTTCTGCTCAGCGTATTTAAATCACGATGGACAGTTTTTTTTTTTTTAAATAAAACTCACAAAGACGCACTTTGGTTAAAACAATGGAAACTATCTGCACCAGCCTTAATAAAGGTGAGGCTGCCCTCTGCTGGCCCCATGACCGCCATGTTTCTCAAACTGGACATTAAAAATCTGTAATTAATCCAAATCTCCCCATCATTTTGAACTGGCTGTAAACTCAAAATTTTGACAGACTACCTCATTTTATTGAGATTGTATATGTAGTTGCTGCTGGTTAAGATAAGGAAGCATTGCTCTATTTTGTGTTATAACTGTTTGGGAATCGAACCCGCGACATTTTGATTGGAGAACCTGTGTCAAAGTCCATCTATCATAAATGAGTCATGATAAGGGTTAGGAACATCTTGTGCAAACTGTATAAACACATTTATAATATGTAACACACAATTGGGTAAATAGTTTAGTATTTTGTACTTTATACGTTTATTCTTATATTTCAGCCTCCAATCTTCGTTTTGGTTGTTGGTATTAGTCGCTTAATTTGTAAATTAAAGATGAATTCTTTAAAGAAGCCTATTTTTGCCACCATGATTTAAAAGAAATCTTCATTATGGGATATTAACTAATGTTTTAAAATAGGACACGTTATATTATTTAACTTTAATTTAACCCGGCAGGACAAATTAAGAACAATTGTGACCAAGCAAAAGACAAAGCCTCCTGAAGAAAGGGGAAATAAATTCAATTCAATCAATTTAGTTTTCAATTTCAATTCATGATATATGTAATAAAATAAAAAAGAGAGAGAATTAAAATACCAATATGCAACAGTATAAACAAATAATAAATAAACGTGTTAATAAAGGGTACTGTCTCGTGTTAATGACTTATCTCATTATGATTTAGCATCTCAAAGTCATGACTTAAAATATGACCTAATTTTGAGATATCTTACATTAGGCTATAAGATTTGAAATGTGGTAAGGGATTGTATTTTTGTCTTGGTTTAATTAAAATGGCATGAATAGGCTTCCATACAGGACAGAAAGTCCCGACCTGCTTGTAAATGGAGGCAGACTGGGGGGGGTAAAAGGGGGCGTGTCCCTGCAGCTCACCTGGCAGGTAGAAACAACTCCGTCTGGTTTAGAACAAATCCCAGAACAAACTGAAGTAAATCATCGCCATGCAGCCTTCAGTGAAAGAATCTCCCGTCAGACCGGGATTTTACAGACTGGAGGTCCAGAAGACGACGTGGGACGTCCCGGAGAGATACGCGGCGCTCAAGCCGATCGGCTCCGGAGCTTACGGGACGGTGTGGTGAGTTTACCCGGGGAGGGAGCGCTGCACCTCGGCCAAAGCAGCGTGGAAAACCCGCGGAGATTATTCTTTCTCCATCAACTTATAAAATAGGTCTATATGGATGTTTTTTTAGTATTACACACATGTCTTTCTCTTTAAGTAATCTGAAGTCCACAGTAAATGTTCCCTTTTAAAAACCATAATTCATTTATTTATATCTTGAGGCAAAAACATTAACATAAATAAGCCTGCATTGGTTTAGGATGCATAAAATTCAACAGGGGAAATGTTGGGAGATGGTTTAGAAAAGGTCATAAGATATCACTGCTGTTCAAGAGTGACCAATTAAAGCCAAATCATGAAGTTAATTAACTTTACAAATTATCTTCTATACACAGAGTGGATTTAATTAGAACTTCCAGTGCCAAGAGACGTGGCAGGAAGAGGCCCAGCTAAGAGATGTACTATTGACTGCCTGAAGCAAGGCAACAAGTCAATGCAGGTCCTGCAAAATGACAAGAATCTTCACCAACAACTTAAAAGGACAGTCAGGAATCCAGGATGTCTGGGCTACATGTCTGTCAAATGAGAACCCACTGAAAAGGAACGTGTTATCAGTGATCTTAACACAAACAGTCACTAAGCTAATTATGCTATGTCAGTTATTAAAGCAGTTAATCTAAGCAAACCATCGGATTTCAAATTGATTTATAATTTAATAAGGAAAATCCCATTGAGGTCACAGTTCTCTTTTGCAAGGGAGGCCTAGGCCACCCAACATATGTTTTTTGGACTGTGGGGAAACCAGAATACCCAGAGAAAACCCATGCAAACGCCATACAGAAAGACCCCAGGTCCAAACTGGTGATTGAACCCAGGACCTTCTTGCTGTTTGGCAACGGTGCTAACCACAAAGCCGTCTAAGTGCCAAATCTACACTTTTGTGCAATCCCCCATCCTGAGCGCATCGGCAACAGTGGAAAGAAACAACTCCCTTTTAATAGTAAGGAACTTCTGATAAAAGTTGGCTTGGGATGGGCGGCCATTTTCATTGACCAGCTGGAGTTTGAGAGGACAGGAAATAAACTACACAAGGATTGGTCCAAGTGCTTTTAATAAAAGCACATGATAAAGGTGGCAATAATTACTAAAACAAACATTGACTGTAGTGTGAGTAAAGACAGCAGCAGAGTGTCCTCAGTCTGTCCTCTAGCAGCCTAAGCCTATAGCAGCATAACTAAAGGATAGCTCAGGAAACCCAAGCCATCCCTAACTATAGGATTTATCTAATAAAATCGTATTATATATTAAATAGTTGGCAATGTGTCACCTTCAGAAACTGAAAGCTCTGCCTCCCTTCTATTTTTAGAATCTCTAGGAACCATAAGTAAACCTGCAGTCTGAGAGCAAAGTGCTCTGTTAGAAAAATATTTAAATCTGAATATTTGAATTTTGATTAGTTTGCATGTTTTAGCTTCAACAATAAGTCTGCTAACTAAAATATTTGTTTTCCTGTAAAAACTCTTATTTTGAAATCAGCAAACAGTTGTGGCAAGTCGTTACTGTGTCAGTGAAGTCACTTGGAACATTATGATCCCTGTCAGTAAGTTTAATCAGTAAACCAGTGTTTCATCTTGTTTAGCTCCGCCATTGAGCAGAAGACCAAAGAGAAGGTGGCCATCAAGAAGCTGTATCGGCCGTTCCAGTCTCTCATCCACGCCAAACGGGCTTACAGGGAGCTCCGCCTTCTTCGCCACATACAGCATGAAAATGTAAGAGTCGTGTAAATATAACACAAACTGCAACATTTTGCTAAAAGCACTTACTGATAAGCTTTTTGTTGTTCATAAAATGAGTCATCATGTTTGATTCAAAGTTGCAGATCAGAAAAAAGTTTCCCCATCTTACTTTCAGTTTCGCTGTAAAAAAGTTTTTGATAACACATTATACATCTGATACAATCACCACTCGTAAATGAAGTATTTTTAATCTTTCTGCCAATCCTGCTGTATTTCTCACTCCTGTTTCTAGAAAAGTTGATTTTGAGGTTAAGTTAGGTGCGTTGCTCTGTTCGACAATAACTCGTGATGTCACCGGCATGCCATGACAACCTGGGAGAGTCATTTTAATCTGCATGGCTCTGAATTCGTTTTAAACCTCACATGGTCCTTTTAAATTGCCAAAGCTTTACACAAGTGACTTGTTAGCACTCAGAGCATGTGATGGCTGCACACCAGATATGTGCCAAGTAGACTGTTTAGACATTTTCGGCTTTGTTAAAGTTGATTAGCTGTGGCAGCCATCTTGCATCTAGTTGGTTATAAATGTATTGATATTGATTTATGTAGTGGTTGATGAAATACTATTCTAACAATCACACATAGACACATTGTTGCCCACATTTTATAGAAATGGTCAGTCAAGTTATTAGTATTTGTGCTGAATTGAAAAACTGACGTGTTTCACGTTCGTCTTAAAGGTGATCTCTCTTCTCGACGTCTTTACGCCCGACGCAACGCTGGAGAAGTTCCAAACCTTGTAAGCTGAGAACGATGTTCTCCTGCTTGGTGTCGCAGCACGCTGACATTCTGTGTTTATGTGCTTGGACGTGAAGATCAGGCAAAAACACATTTTGAGTTTTTAAAACTTATTTTTTGTTTTGCTTTGTGAATGCTGCTTCAGCTTTCAAACTCTTGTTTTCATGTGATTTTATTTTTCTGCATGTATATCTGCATGTACAAGTACTGCATGTACAAGTACTGCA